AAGTCATTGCCTCACCATTCTTGAATTTATAATAGAATATAAAATTAGCTGGGATTTCTGAAATTTCTAATTGCCATGTTAAACCGTAACAACTTGCGAGTCCCGGGTTTTCCACGGGGTTTCGAGAGTCTTGATTGTCTGAAAGAGGTTGATTTTTTCTCCAACCTGATCACCCTGTTTCCCTCCGGCCACACCCCTACCCCAAACAAAGAAAACAAGTATGGTTCTTAACTTATCATTCAAAATTATCATATCTTAAAAACCTGTCTAATTTACTAAGTCTTAACGCTAAAAAGGTATTTTTAGCACAAGTTTCTTCAAATTTACATTCTAAATATTTATTTACATTCATTTATTATTACAAATTTCGTCTTACGTTGTTTCGTGGGTTACTGACATTTGCAAAAGTCAATTAAGTTCTAGACATGACGTAATGCGGTTGAATGTACATGCCCTTAACAAATCTGTAATGTTATGTTAGATAAACAGTTTAGCTAAAATTAAACAGCGAAACTGTCAATGAATTTTATATTGTCGTTTTGAATAAGAATAAAAGGTTAAGCTTTGAAAAATCCAATTTCATGATATGTTTTGCAAATTTCCTTCTGGTCTTGTGGGATCGTATATACATATTTAGGTCCCCAGCCAAATTTCTCTGACGGTTTGAGTGCTTCTATTTGTTAAAATGATTCTAGTCACATCGCGTCTTTGGAAGAGGGCTATTTGCAAAAGTCGATTAAATTCTAGACATCACGCAACTAGTAGACCAATAAATTTCAAATTTTCAGTAGGCCTATAAACACAAAAAGTTTCTGAATAGCTTATTCATTGCTTTTACTTTTCGCAAATTTCCTTCTACTCTTGTGGGATCGTATAAATATATTTAAGTCCTCAGCCAAATTTCTTTAGCGGTAGGAGTAGAGTGCCGATCGTGTCTTTATGGTGAAATGATTCAGTAGGAGCAAGTATTCTGGCGGTGTATTTCAGGTTGGATTGATTCCGGTAACATGGAGTCTTTAGAAAAGTTTCAATTGCAAAAGTCAATTAAACTCTAGACTTGACATACTGCGGTTGAATGTAGGTTCTCTTAATAAAACTATAACGTCATGTTACATTCAGTGTTTAGATAAAATTACCGTCATTGAATTTTACATTGTCGTTTTTTCTAATAAAAGTAAAATGCAAAACTTGATTAGAAGTAAAATGTTAAACTTTAAAAAATCCACTTTCATGAGATGTTTCTCAATGTTCGTAGGTAGATAGGTTGCTTAATTAGGCTAGGATATAAATACTAGACTTAAGAAAATGGTTAGAATCACCATATGAACTATTTGGTGAACATGATTTTTCAAAGTTTCCTTTCTTGTTGTGAAAAAAATCGCTTCTATCATTCACTAATGGACCAAATGCTTTTAAATTTTCAGTGGTTGATGATTGTATTTTTCGCTAGAAGGTCATTACTTTTATATATTTTCAAAAATCCGATTTGTTACGATCGTTCGTTTTGATGTACAGTGACGTCATCAAAATGAAAAAATTGCGCTACTTGTGGCGGTTCCGCTTGTGCGTATGTTCAAACTTGCTGCGATACGGTACCGGTAGGCTACTCGCTATGTATAACCCACCACTTCGTTTTGGCTTTTGTGTCTATATTTGTGCATAGCTTTATTGTTTTATTGCAACGGCCGAGATCTTTCCAGTTTTGCGCATCTATCCGATTCATTGCACTCTAGGTGATTTGTAATCATTGGTGATCATTTAAACTGCGATGACGTAATATTTATGTATGAATCCGTGTCCTAAATAGGGTACTTATGGCAAAAGTCGTGTTTTTTGCAAGGTTTTTAGCTGTTTCTTTACGGATTTTGCGCGCTTCTTGCTTGTGTTTTAGGAATGGTTTCTCGACTTTTGCACGTTTTAGCAAAGTTATTGGCGTTTTTTTACAGCAAAAACCGTGCAAAACACCAAAAACGTGATTTGATAAGTTCAATAATACACTTGGCGCATTTTATTTTTGGGTGCAAGGTAATTCCAAAACAGAATTTAGGATTTGTAACATATTCTAGAGAAAACGTAACTTTTGTGCAAAGAGTTGGTGAAAATTTAATATAATCAAACGAACCGAAAAAAGTCAAGTGTTCAATAAATTGCCGCTGTTGAGTAATTGAAAAATTGATGGGTTGTGTTTTTGGCCCCCCGCATGTAAACTAATACATTTCTGAAGTGGTTCTCAACAAAATTTAATTACTTACTTGTGGTTGTTAGACATTCAGCCCTTTAATTTATTCCAGTAACTACCAATTAATGATTTATATCAGAACCACTTGTTGTAATGTCAACCATTAAACTAATTGAAGTTTGGTAAAGACGAGAGAGAAGTGGTTATATATGTTAAGAATTGCATCACTGATATGGGTAAAGCCACGTCAGCAAAATGGTATGGGTTCGCCTACTTTACATCAAGTTGTGTAAAGAGACTGAAATCTATGGACAGGGGGATATTCACTTGGCTAACACAGACAGTCGCCGAACTCGTAATAGGAATAAAATAAGGAAATCAGAATAAAATTATGGCCTAACTCTAACCAGGTACACACACTACGGGAGTACCGAAATTTCAATGGTTTAAAAAAGTTACCAAATGTTATATGGTGGTAATTGTATCAATTATATACGACGAAAATTCGAAAAAAAGGGAATCGTTTCCTCACAACAACAACAACAACAACAACAACGTCAATTCAGCAAAACGAGAAATAAATCTCTGTCGTGTTTAACAATTTAAATTTTGTGACAGCACATTTATTATATTTCAGATAATATTTTTCCAAAATGTTTCCAGTTTTTCTGATTCAATTTATTATTTAAGTACACGCGGCAGTAATTTGATTTGGTGTCAAGGCACTTTGATATTAAATAAACATTTCTTTTCAAAGTTCACTATTAATAGAAATTATTTTTCAAAATTGTTATAAATGATGCAGAAATTTGCGTTAGCACAAGTTTCGTCAAATTTGCATTTAAATTATTTATCATCAGATTCGACAATTTCGTCATTCGTTGTTTCGTGAGTTAGTGACACTTGGCTGATATAGTCAGTCGCCGAACTCGTAATAAACCTTAAATAAGGAAAATCGGAATAAAATTATGCCCTAAACCTAACCTGGTACACACACTACGGGATTACCAAAATTCCAATGGTTGAAAGAAGTTACCGGATGTTATATAGAGGTAAGCGTATCAATTATATACGACGAAAATTTGAAAAAACAAGGAATCGTTTCCTCAAACAACAACAATAATACCAACTTCAATTCAGCAAAACGAGACATAAATCTCCGTCTTGTTCAACAATTTGTGATATTTCAAAGATTATTTTCCGAAATTTTACATTCATTTCTGATGCAATATATACATTATTTCCATAAGTACCTGCGGCATTCGTTTTCTTTTATATTTTATAACGGGTCCACGCGATATCCAGTAATTTGATTTGGTGTCAAAGCACTTTGATAAATGAATGAACATTTCAAAAGTTCAAAATTTCACTCTAATATAATATATATCTAATATAATATAAGTCTTGGAATTCTTTTAAAAGTGCAAAAGGAATTCATCAATAACGTATATTGTTTTGGTCTTTGCAGATGTATTAAATGAAGTAAAAATACTTGAACAATTACTGATTAAAAAACAACAAACCTGGTCAAGATTTATTGCGAACGGACTTCATTTCAAAATTGAAAATGTAGAGAGACTTTATGGACATCCTGTATATTTCTAAGTACCTGCGGCATTCGTCTAGCCTTGCGGCATTCGCCTCTATGGAACCGTCAATTAGTGCTTTTTACGGCCACATAAGTGATGCTTGGTGTAATTAAATTCTGCAGACGATATTATCTGCGCGAACAGACATCGGCGTATTTCACAATCTCGCACCTGTTATCTCAGTCGCTCTTTGAACGGCTTTCAGTCGTAATAAATGTTTCCCTCGAGCATCGATTTCCGTTACAATGACTAATCACCAACAAGTCAACGATGATGTAATAATGGCACTTCGTGCAGTCGCTTAGATATTTCTTTTGCTGATGCAGATAATCAAGAAGGGTTGTAAACATTGGATCGTTTTCACATATCATTTGTTAATTTCCAGTTTACTAGCGCATCAATGCACCAGTATGAAAATATATAGTTATACCTAGGTCAGGGCTCTTAAACTATTTTGACCGAAGGTCAAAACTTCAAATTTATTTGGTTCCGGTGTTTCCAGAAATTATTTTCCGGCATCCCTAAACGCGCACTTTCTGGAACGACTCATGATCATTCGCTATTCAAGATTGTTTATGATTGTGTTATAGTACTTTTCATATATAATTGAAACTATAAAAGTCATTTTATGAAAGAAACTTAAAAATGGGGGCTAATGATCCAAAATAAAGAATTAAGTGCGGTCCAAATGGAATAATCAGAAAGTCCGGATTCGGATCGCGGTCCGTCAGTTGAGTAGCCCTGATCTAGGTAGTCAAACGACCCGATAGTCGAACAATTCCGTAGTCGGCTAAAAAATTTGTGTCAAAATTGCTGCGGTACGCGAATGGAAACAGGAATTTGGTGCTCGAACACCCGAGCGGGTCGCCGAGTAAGATAACGTCACCCGAACCGCGCCTCTCGTCTGCTTCTTGACCCTTCGACAAGAAAGCGATGCTCAAATATATGGACACAAGGTACTCATGTAGTATGTGAACCAAGATGGCGGACACCGGAACGTGGTATGTGTACCAGGTTAGGGTCAGGACATAATTTTAATCTGAGTTTTCTTATTTTGTTATATTAGAAGTTCGGGTATTAGCCAAGTGACATACTACGTTCCAGTGTCGCCATCTTGGTGCACTTACTACGGGAGCGTCGGACACAAAGTAGTCCTAGTGTGCAATCTGTCATAGTGAGCTAAAGCTATATAATAAATCAATCTGCTTTTGACAAAATCACGAATAAAAATGTATATTTTCATCAACATTTATTAATAAACAGATACATGGAGGGTACATTATAGTATATAAAAATATTACATCTTAATTATAAACTGTATTATAACTAAATAAATTACTGTAATGTACATTGTAAACAAAATCAAATTTTTTCGCTATTAAATATAAATATTTGTATATAATGCTGTATGTATTTTACTATAAATCAGTTTAACTAAATATATAAAGTACGAAAAAATTCAATAGATAAACAATATATGGGTATAAATAAATATAGCTACATTGAAAAATCAAAAAAATATACAATCAACATTAAATACCTCTGTATTCAATGACAAATAAATAGATAACAACGTAGAAAACACATGTACATGGAATAAAAAAATTGTTTCAGCTCTCGAAATTCAATGGGAATGAATATATTATACATATATATAGTGGATCTGTATAAATATAATTTATATTGGTTAAATTTAATAATATACACCTTGAATAAACACGGTGCCTAAGAAAGTTTGGGGCCCACTGCGGTAGAATACAGGGATTCACAAACTGGGGGTCGCGACCCTCAGGGGTGCGCGCAGCGAAATTTGGGGGGCGAAAAGGGTACACCAATTTCACAAGAAGCACCATATCTATTCTAAATTTCAGACTTTCGACTGCAAAACTAGTGCAAAACGTAAATCTCACGATTTCGAAAGAAAACATAGTATCAGAGAAACAGCGCGCTTGTTCAACAACGCCGGCTTAACAGTGATCGCTTAAAATTTTAATATATTGAAAGGGGTCGCGAGCACAAAAATTGCCCTTGTCTAATAGACCGACCCTGCATAAACTTTACTCTCCTTAACATTGCGAGCTGCAAACCTTCTTTTCGATATTTTGAACAGTTTTTTCCAAGTCAACAAATTTATCGACTGTTACAATATTTTCCGAGATTGGTTTCGACGCGATTGCTTCTAATTCTGACCATCTTGCTTCCTTCACACCGACAGCAACGACATGGACGTTCAATTGCCTTAACTTTTTAGCTGTAAATGTAAGTAAATGATATTAAATGACGAGTTGCAACAGGAAGGCTGAGGGCAGCTTTGTAATGCATTTCTTACATTTGCTTATTTTGAAACCCTTTATTTCTGACCCATTATGTTCAAAAACTTTTTCTTATTGCTGTTTTTAGTTTTCTGTTTGATGTTCAATTTTATCGAATATTTATTATTTTTTTTGCTAAACATGAAGTTATTTGGAAACGATTTGATATTTGGGCGTGAGTAAGCGTCGTATATATAAATACCTGGCTCAGTGACGTCATCCAGAGATTTCCCATCAGTCAGCAAGACAACGACATCTTTCGCTCCGTCTCTTCGGCCGATGAAGTTTTCGATGACGTACTCAATTGCTTTTCCTGCAGCGTGTACAAAAATTGATCGTCAGTTAATACTTTGGTATATGACATCCGTTGTCTTACAAAAAAAGTAGGACAGCAATGGCCGAGAGCAGCGATCGGCAACCTGCAGCTCTTTCTTCTCGGAGCCCTGGCTCCCTTGAATCAAAGTTGTTACAGCAGTTTTTTTGATAAAATCAAGCAGTGGGGATTTAATGAAAGGGAAGGCATCAAGTCAAATATTTCTCACTAATTAGTATACGTCGCAATCAATGAAAATGGTCACATTAAGATGATACAAATTTGTCAAAACCAGGGCTTAGTCGCTGGTTCAAAATTACAATGGCTCCAGCGTCACAGTATATGTCGACTCTATTGCATTTGGCGTGTTCTTAGTAAGAACTAAATTAATGCTCCATAAGTGATTTTCCGAGAGTTTTAATAACTACTGACATTAGTGTGGATGTTGCGGTTAAAATATGGTTACTCACATTGTCCAGAAAAGGTTAGGGTTAAGAATGCAGATTGCGCTGAAAATTCAATTTTTATATCATTCCCAATTCTAAGTCTAACCTCAACTGGATGATTGGATGATGGATATATCAAAAAAATTGAGAACAACTGCACTAATTACTAACCAGTATAAGTTCCTAATCCAGAGTAAGTGAGCTTTCCGATCGCTTCTTCAAATTCGACGTTCGAATCAAAAATCTTGTTGTTATTGAGAGGGACAATCTTTGAGTGATAAACAATGGCGGTAACTTGAGTAAAGTCCACAGATAATACAAATCGTTTCTGGAGCTGAAAGACAAATAAATTGGATATTATAGATCATTGAAAGCATAAAAAAGTGTACATACATGCATAAAGAGACCAAAAGCCGCTTCGGTCATGACTTTAACTTAATGTGCACATTTTCCATAATGCCAACCCAGAGTCAGTCAGTCAATTATTTATTTGTCGTCACAAAAAACGAATGCACAAAGATTGGTACAGAAAAATGAACTGGAACGTTAAGACGAGGATCGCGATGGACCTGGTTAGGTCTTCAAGCAGCGACACCTATAGTGTTGTTAGTGCTTTAGTGTAAAAAAATAATTGCTTTCGCTGAAAACATTGACTATGCAATAGTCATGATTATGAACACATTTGACTACAACCCAAATAATTTTGGGAACTTAAGAGAGATAGCAACTTTGCTAACATATATAATAAAATTGATAAAGAGACAAATTGACGACATAGGCAGTTTTGAAAAGTCGTGTAAATATTATTTAGATAGAGAGAAGTTAATGAACTTTAGAGAAAACTTGCAACAAAGACTATTTAGAAAATCATATAACGTTTATATGCAGAACAAACCAATTTTTTAAGTTCTTTTTTTATCTTAACCCAGAACATTTCAAGAGTTTCATTTTAGACATTTTAGTCGACGCTTAGTTAGACACTTAAATACTTTCTTAAACTTCGACGTTCCGTTTTGTTGAAAGCATTGATGATTTTTAAACTTACATCTTTCACAAATTGCTTTATATCATAGAAGTTTTCGAGACCGACGCTGCTTGAACTATCCAAAACAAAAATCAGATTCATTCTTGCGTACGGAGCACAGTCATCTGAAATATAAACAAAGTGTAATCATAAAATATATAAACATGGCCAAATCCTACCGCAATGTCAGCAAAACTGTAGCAAATGGTAGCAGAATGGTATCAAATGTCAAATGGACGTGTTCCCCTGTGAATTGAGACAAATAGCAACATTTGGGGATAAATATCAGGCACCGGTGGACTCGATAAAACATTCGAAATCGAACTAAAAGCAATAGTTGCTAAATTTGCATTTATTTTCATTTTTCACCAATTTTGTAAGTTTCACTTTGTGAAAAATAATTGGTTTTATGAGATAATTTTAACAAGAATTTTCAAACTTTTACTCCGAAATAAGCTGTAATAGCAGTCACTGATATGTTCGACATTTTCTGTCCAATTTATCACATTTTAAATAAGGGGCATGGGATTCGAACCCGTGAACCAAAACCATTATTACTTTTGTACATTTTGTTTTACATTCAGTCGCAATAAAGAAATTTACGTTTATTCAGAGAAATATATGCTGTACAAACCTCTACAGCACGGTCTTGAAGAGCTCCATTCCTGATTTTCTAGACAGGTGACCTCGGCGTTGCCTTGGATACGGTAGCCTCTGTTGCAGCCGAATTCACAAACTGATCCAATGTTGTTGTCATCGGAGCAAGTCATGTTACCTTCGTTTGGTGGAAACAATGGCGGACTACATACAGCACCTTGATTTATAAAAGGTATGAATATTTGATTAAAACATATTACTATCATGTTCAAAATTTATCAAAAAAAAAATAAAAAGTTTTTCCATGTACTCAACGAATTGAAAAATTAGCGACAATCAAAGCGCCGCGGAAAAGGCAAGAGAGGAAAATGCGGCCATCTCTTAGTCTTGCAGTAATAAATTCACCGGATAAAACTGCGAAAGATTCAATGCAGCAACAAGAGCAAAAAGCAATATGTATTTTTACCCATGTGGGTAGGCTTTTTTTAAACATAAACTATCGGATAAGGATTTTATACTTGATGGAGCAAAATCTGAGTGTTGACAAGGGTCACATTAAATGACTTGGCGGGCAGGGTTGTGGCCCTCAGGCCGCCTCCTGCATAAGTCATTCGATATGGATCACTGGATCGGAAAATAACCCCTTGCGTCGAACATGGCTATATATGTTAAAAGCGTCGATTGTAAGGTTAACATTGATACTATGCAAGCAGATAAATTCGTATTGCAACGCGCTTAGCCTTATTATTCATTCCGTATAGAAAATTTAGATATTTTACTGAAAAAACAAATAAAATTAAAAATGCTACTTACGGACACAAGTAGGAGGAGTCCGGCTCCATGTCAGTGTCGTTCCTAGGCACATTGTTTGACTGTACGATTCTTGAAGCACGAAACCTGGGTCACACTCAAATGAGCATACAGAGTTCACGTTCCAACCATCGGTGCACGTGACGGCACCATTAGCGATGTCTCCGATACGAGGCTTGCAGATTTCTAAGTCGTTTCCGGAGTCTGTAAATTGACCATTTTGATGATTATTGCCAAAATACTTGAACGACTCGGATTGTTATTTTTAAACTTCGCAAAGTTTGATTGAAAAAAAATGTAAATTTTTGATTCATTTAGACTGGTTAAAGTCAAGATTTCAGACTAGAGTGCTTCTAGGCGGGACCGATTTGTCCAAACTTTTCGGCACTTCTGCATGTTAAGTATACTTGTATAAATCTGTTCATATGAAACCATTGAACCTGATGGGATTTGGAATCTACCAATCAAAGTAACACTATAAATACCACTGGAATGATAAACATGGGGGGCATGAGTGCTAAAAAGCCTCCAGAAAGCAGCCACGAGCCACGAACCACGAGCCATAGAAGGTTGGGAACAACTAGCCTAAAACCTGATGAACATGAAAAAAAAACGGGTGATATTTATAATGGCCTGGTTCGACCGTATCAGCTAGCGGGTTTGTGGGTTTTCATGAGTCCTGGGTGTCGAAAAAGCGTTTCAGTCTACGTAAGATTGCTATGCATGATACAAAAAATTGCCCTTTTTGCATTTCAAATGAAGAGGGGCCACCATCAATTCCCCTGGTTAAGCCCGGGTTAAGATTATTCAAATTTTGTGATTACGTAAAGTTAAATTTTCAATTTCACTGTCAAAAATATCCAGCAATTCAATTAGTTTTAATATGACTTTTAATTTTCCTGGATAGGCCTATGCAAAGATTATTAAAAATTTGTGATTACAAATAGTTGCATTTCTAAATTCACTGTTGAAAATATTCAGCAATCCAATAAGTTTTAAAATGCAAATTAAACTTACGTTTTGCCCTCTCTGTGTCGCACGAATAACGGAGACTGTCGCTGCAATTGACGACTTTCCACAAGAAATCACGAGTTCCATATGAAACGGGATCCGATATAAGGTGGACACAGTTCTGGAAATCTAGAATAAAACACGAAAGTGTTGCCTAAATATATGGTCACGAAGGTTAGAAATTAACATATTATGAGCAAAATCCCATACAAATTTGAAAATAATTGCACCGAATGGCATAAACAATTGAAACGGATGTCTGAATAATTGCACCGAATGTCCTAAAAATTGTATTAAATTTCATAAACAGTTGTAACGAATGTAATGAATAATTGTATCGAATCATGATGAATGGGGCCGAATGTTATATGAAAATGATCTCATAAATTATATAAACAATGATGACAACGCACAAGGAAATATGCTACTAGTCGCTAGTTGAATAAAACGTCAATTGTTTCGTTTTAGCTTCATTTATGTTCCACTTTTTCCTGAGAATTATGACGAAAAAAAAACGATGAATTTGGGGTCACAAGAATGTCACTATCCTACTGAATACAAGAACAAAGGGAGTGAATGTGTGTCGTATAAAAAAACCCAAAACCTTAAATATCAGGGCTCATATGCGAAGCCAGGAGAGGTAGAGGCAAGAGTAAGCGTCGTATTACGTCACTATACAAAAAATGCCCCCCCCCCCCCAAATAAAAATAAAGAATTGGGCTCGCTACGTTCTTGTCAGAGTACTTTTTTACATATCATTAAATATCATTGGCTGCTTTGCCTAGTTCGAAGCGATTAACGCGAATGAATGTCATACGAATTTTTTTTTCTACCTTCTTCTTTCCTCAGCCGAGGTTCGCCAGGAGCCCATTTAGTGAATTGACCTTCTTTTAATTCGCATCCATCTCTCCATCTCAACTCATTTCCATCAAATCGATCGTCCAGACCAATCCAAGCTCCTAAAATAACGGATGTCTCGTCGCCTGCTGGAACAACTCTAGACTGCAAATATTGAACAAATAATTTATGTTAGAAAATTTATGTAACTTTGCTAAGTAACGTCTGGGCTTGTGACCGAAGTGACTTTAAATGGAATTACTCGACTCGTCATCAAATCACCAGTGAGATATAACTTAGGGACTATAATTCGGGTTTTGGGACTTTTACCGAAAACTGCGTTGTTGAAGCTAGAGATCCCGAAAAAAGGAGATTTATTTTAATATTATGATAATTGTCTTAAACTTCGAGTCTGTCTGCTTAAATTTACAGTGTGTCGGAATTAAATTTTAGGAATAGGATTTACATATTCATCTCGGGGGAGGAAAGCCGATAAGACGGTTTAATCATATAACGAGCCACGGCTTCTCGTATGGTGACTAGTTTATGTCGGGTAGATAGATGGGGTATGGGATTAGTTAGCCAGTTATTTGTTTCAGACGCATTGACTTGATTGCGGAGGAAGTCGTAACCTACCAGCGGATAAGTGAACCACCCTACGGTGGCGAGGAGTCCAGCAATCCGCTGGAACATGATTTAACCCGGGCGGGATTCAAACCTGCGAACATATACAAGGTTACCATAGGTGCGTTAGCGAGCGTATTCCTCCAAATGTTTAGCACGATGCACCACACCGCAATTGAATTTTATAACCAAGTTATGAAACGCTTACCAGCAGAAGATCATTGATTTCCTTGTACACCCTTTCATCTTTCATTACTGGTGGAACTCCTTGCTCAAAACTGACACACCAGTCAATCTGTGGTTCTGGTGGCGTGGCAGTTGTAGTAGCATCAACTGTGGCGTCAGATGTAGTAGATGGCGTAACTTCTGAGCCTTCTCCGGGGATATTAGGAGCCACAGACGATGTGTCATTGTTGTTTGAGTTAATGTCACTGGGGACGACATCTGTTATAGTATTGGGAACAGTTGGCGTGGCACCAGATGCGTTTCCATTTTCAGCAGTTTCTAAATTACTGTTTGTATCTGTGACTGACTTGGTCGTGGCATCATTAAGTGCATTTGTGGCATCAGATATAGTTGTGGCATCTATTGATTTTCCTGACTTTCCTGAGGCATCTGTTGGAGTAGGTGCCGTGGCATCAATTGCTCGTGTGACACCGCCTATAATTTCGATACTATTCCCAGTTGTAGCAATTTGAATGACTTCGGTCGGCTTTGGTTTTTGTGTTATATTTTTTCTGATGCAGTACAGGCCGTCCATGAGTTGTTCGTGTGGGCAGTCAACATCGTTTTCTGTATAAAAAGAAACATTTTGAGTAAAAACGAATAAAATTTTTCAAAATGATTTGATGAAGGAAATATTACGCAAGTTTACTCAAAAGTAAAAAATACTATGGTCTTCTGAAAATAGCTACGCAAAGAATTTGGTCACAGCAAAACAAAATGCCATGGCTTCAATTTCTCGTGTGGCACCGCCCATAATTTCTATGGTGTTTTCAGTTGTAACAAAACTAAAATTTTGAGGAAATTTGTTTAATACAAAGGCCACGCGTCCTTGCTCAAAAATTGGGGGAGACGCGTATGAGTATATCTATGTGCATGCACCTCTGATAAAATATGCAAGTTATTGATAAATTTAGTCAAATTGGCATTAGTAGTTATAAATAACAATGCTGTTTTTGCTACAGGATGGCAGTTATCATTTCAATTATTGAAGTGAAAGTGTCTATTTTCGCGAAAGAATTTTTTGCTTTTCTTGTAGTTTTTTTGTCGCATGAGAAAGTTATCGAGCCCCAGAATTTTCGTGCAACTGAAATGGGCGACGGAGAGAAAAAAAAGTTCAGCTAATTAAATTGACGGTAGTACTAATGAATAACAATGCATTTTTTGCTACAGTGAGGCATTTACCATTCTAATCATTGAAGTGAATGTATCTATACTTTCGGAAAAAATTTGAATTTTTTTGTAGTTTGCTTGTAGTAGCATGAGAAAGTTAATTTGCCTGACTGTGTCTATTTTTGCAAAAATAATTTTTTTTTTTTTTGTAGTTTTTTCTTTGCATGAAAAACTAAAATGGGCCGCCAAAGAAACAGTTTAGTTTAGTTGAATTGACGGCAGTCGTAATGAATAACGCTGCTGTTTTCCTACAGGATGGCATTTATCATTTCACTTTGTTAAAATGAATGTGACTATTTTTGCGGAAATTTTTTTTGCTTCACTTGTAGTTTTTTGTCGCATGAAAAAGGCAACAAGCTACAGACTTTTTGTGCAGTTAAAATTGGCCACGGAAGATAGGAAGGTTGATAACTACTGGTCTACTTACTTTCACAATTTATTCCATCGCCAATATATTCCGGTGCACACATGCAAGTGTACGATCCAACATTGTTCTTGCATATACCATTTGCATCGCAATCGTGTTGCCCTGTCATGCATTCATTTATGTCATAACACTCGAATCCATCTCCGGAAAATCCTGCCTCACAGTTGCACCTGGAAAGTAGAAGGGTAACTATTATAAACTGTTTCTCATCAGAGTTTCGGCATTTACTAGGAGTAAATAGTGCGCGCGCTTTCTTTAATTAGTTTTAATACTTTTGGGTGAGCGAACACGTACTACTTCTTTTAACCACACCTTTCCAAGTGATATCTGTACGTTTCAAACTAACTTGAGGTTTCGTTCGTTTTCCTGATTCTACAATCAGTTTTGTTTATTTTGTTTTTATCAAATATTTTATCGTCTATTATGCTGATTACGGAGTCGAAATAAACTCATACTAACTGATACCATAGATAATAATCATTTATTAAGTCATTTGTGTAATCGGACCCGATTGCTTTTTTATTTTGATGCATGGGAACACTGCTATATGACATCCTGCACAATTCTTTCGAAATTTTACTCGAATGGCGCTGACATTGCGTTAGTCATATTAAATCACTTCATCTTCGTTTGATATTTGGACAACCCTCTAGTGTTAAAATGACACGCTTTAAATAAATTTAATAATACATAACTTTCGAAAGCCAAATATGACGGTAATCGTCAAATGCACTCTACCCATTCGCTGCTGTCGTTAAAGGTTCAAAACTGAAAAAAAAAAGACTAGACCACGGAGGGCCATTTCATAAGCCCCTTGCTATTGGAGACAGGGAGGAGTTTGCTCATTATTTGCAACTACTAATATTCTTTAATATTACTACCATAACGCTTATTTATGCAAACATATACTACTTGAACAGTGCAAAAGCGGGAGTGCGACTTGCACATATTATAGCCAAAGAACCATTAAAGATTGAATAAATAAAGTAATTTTTACGCATAAGGTGGGAGGAATGAAGAGTTCTGAAATTAGGAAAGGGTAGAATCTAGCAAAACAAAACACTAAACTTACAAGTAGGAGCCGATCGTGTTTGTGCAGGTAGCCAGCTCGTGGCATTTGTTGAGATCCGGGGAAGCACATTCGTCAATGTCCACACATGATGTCAGACCATCCCCTACAGAAACAAGAAAATAAGTTATTGTTCGAAAATTCGGATTTCTTTATATTAGTGACTTTATTCCTAGTTAAATGCTTACAAAAACTACCATTCGCTTATCAGACCGAGACTACATGATTTAATCAATCATAAGCAAAGTGCAACCAAAAAGTAAACAAAACGATTTTATTACAACAACAAGAAAAAAAATTCTAACAACAAAATCGAATACAACAACAACATATTAACAAAACGATCCATTTTGTGTCCAAAACATTTCATACCTTCAAATCCAGGCCTGCATTTGCATATGAGGGTTCCATTCCGATCGTATTCAAAAGTTGCAAACTCGTTACATGGATTTGTTTTTGTGTCACCTGAAAATTTATAAATAATGATTAATTAACAAAAAACAAAACACCATTAAAAGGCTATTCCATGATTTCCCAACCGTTGTGTGTGTGTGTGTGTGTGGAGGTATTCCATAAAAATTTTGTCGGTCTTGGGGAAATTGTACGTTGAATTTGCTGCAATGTTCTTTAGTTATTAAGTTAATTACAAACAGCTCAAACTGTACAAAAGCCAAAGTGCAACTACCACATAGCACTAGATATGGATTCATTAAGTAAAGATTGAACAAGTAAAGTAGTTTACATGCGTATAGAGGAAGCATAACGAGTTCCAAAATATCCGAATGGAGAACTCTCATGAATATGGTTGGGAACCACTGGACTACTATGAGAGTTCTACTGCATAATAACGCAAATATAAACGCTGAATTATATGGCTTTGTCACGATGCTAGGCGCAAAACTGAGTGCAAAACTGACTATATCAATATATACTTTCGGATTTAAATAGTAACTGACGGAATGCTGGAACTTTACTGGTAAAACCTTAGGGTGCCGCGGAACGCTTGGTTGAAAATCACTGCTATACACATACCTTCTTTGCATGCAGGTTTTACCGCATCCCATTCCAAAGTCTCTTCCACGCATTGTACCGATTTTCTACCCAGAACGTGATATCCTTCCTCACAGCTGAACTCACAAATGGAACCAGCACTCCGTCCCATTGAGCAAACGACTTCTCCGTGTTCCATAGGTGTGGTCATCTCTGTACTGCAGTGATCGAGTTTGCAATCGGGATCTAGAAACCAGAATTGTTTTTAAATGTTGGTCGAACGATGAAAATTAGATCGAAGTAAAATTACATGCACTCACGCAGAAGAAAAAGAGACTTATCTCTTAGTAAAGTTTTCAGCGCTCTAGAAGTGTGTGTACCAATCTGGAGGTAACTAAATTTATTCGTCTCCTCTACATCAAGTTGTGTAAAGGGACTGAAACCTATGGGCAGGGGGTATAGTCACATGGATAACACAGACAGTCCCCGAACTCGTATTGAACTAAAATAAGGAAAATTGGCATGAAATTATTGCTGACTTTATAACCTGAGCTTTTTATATTAAAGTATATACACTCGAATCAAGATAACGCGAATTCACTGCGAAAGAAGAAAAGGGGCTGGTTTTAGGTAACGTTTATTTTTATTTTTTAAGATTATTAGCTCAAAGCAAAGTTGGTCTCGGTAACTCGCTCAGAAATTGAATATTTTTTACACGCATTAAACGCACATAACTGAAATAGAAATGAGACTTTTGTGAGCAAAGTTACGGACGAGCCCGGAAAAGCCAAGAGCTATCAAAACTATACGACATTGTGGTGGTTCATCATGTGTCAAAATTGCTGACTGAGCCGAGATTTGAATCATTTCAAGTTATTAAAACCATGATAAACTATCGGTGGATAAGCGTAACGTAATAAAGTTTCCCTTATATCACAAATAAGTGTTCCTATGAGTTGAAATATTAACAGAATTCTCTAGGAAAATATCATAAAAAACTTCGTGTCCAACATAATAGCATAATTTTTGGTGAAAATATCTGGTCTCATAAGACTCGGAAAAAAATGGAGGAAGTAGCCTTTTATTGGCTTTTTCTTTCACCAAATAATGAAAAATATGAAACTGATTGATCAGTTACTTCGCACAAAGTCTTTCTTTTCAACAACGAGAACAATTTAGAAGAATACGTTTAGGTTCACATTGTGTCCAATATCGCTACTTACCAAAAACACACTTGGCATCATCTCCTGACCAGTATTTGTTAGACTTGCAAGTTCTTGATTTTGAGCCTTCTAATTTGAAGCATTTGTCACATCCAAACTCACAGGCCGATGACGTCACGCCTGGGACCGGCATACAATTCATCCATCCGTTAGTTGGCGCTTCCAATTTCCGGCAATGTGGCTCTGTAACATAGAAATTTGAGATGCAAACATGTCAAGTCGGTTGCGTAATTGATAGAACAAAACCTTTTCGGTCATGTGGTCATGAGTATGCAAATTAGCAAAGTATTCAACGCTTACAGTGGAGTAAAACTGGCCGGAGTTTTGTCGCACTTTCGAAACAAAAATTGCTTTGTATTTTGTTTTAGTGTTACTAAGATTTCTTAATTCCTTATTATTACAATACTAATGATATATGCATACTCTATAAACAAAAGCAGGGGTTTGACTGGCGCATAATACTAACTAAGAATCCAATAAAGATTGAAAAAATAAAATACTTTTATGCACAGTGAGAAAGAAATAAAGACTTACGGAATAGGCGTAATGGAGAGTTTAACTAAAAGATTTGCGGGTCGGAACCAGTGGTGGGAATCAGCCGGTTTGCACTGGTTCTATAGAACCGTCTCACGGAATTTCATGAGATCAACGAATCGATTAGCATTACTAAAAAAAACATGTAGTAACAAAACCGGCGAGAAATATGGACTTTTGTGATGAAAAATTTGAATCCCACCACTGGTCGGAACCCCCTCCCCCCCCTTCTGGGCCTAGGAAAATAAAATTCGAAAATAGTCTTTAACATTTAACCAATAACTTAGTATGTACGTGCATTTAAGTGTCAGCAAATACAAATTTCTTACCGTCAGTGTTAGAGTTGCAGCCAGCTTCTCCACAGCAATATCTGCAAACGTATAGAGGAAAATACTCCGCCTGGTTGCACTGAGTTGAAGGCCATCCCGGTCTGTCGTTTTGCATGTAGTTATTATTACATGCTGTAGTCTGCTTGCAGCCCTGTTAAAAAAAAATATCAGTGTGTAAAAAACAATGCGAGAATTTTTATAGCCAGTCAGTACTTTATTTTATCCCAAACTGAAAGTACACATTAGATAAACATAATTAAGAAAGATAAAAAAGTACATTTCAGTGTGAAGGAAGACGCGATAAACCAGAGATGTTTATCGCACGGCGTCACTTATGAGGAAGTCGAACATTAAATCATACCAAGAAAGAAGTCAAACATAATATACTAACAAAAGTCGCACTTTGAGACACACTTGAGCGACCCGCTATACCGGTGTCACTGTAGTTAATGGGAAGAAGACGACTCCAGACACGACAGGCTGCGATAATCATTAAACGACGATTGTTCAGCTTTTTGCTTGCTCGTTTTAGTTCAGTATTGCCTACCTTATATTTATCAAACACTGAGTGAAGTGGTGAACATTCGATTCAGGAGATCCAGGAGATTTGAAACCGAGTTTTCAAACTTGGGAAAACAAATACTCCCATAGTATATGTACCAGGTTAGGGTTACGCCATAATTTTAATCCGATTCAATTATTTTATAGTTTTATTACGAGTTCTGAGACTGTCTGTGTTAGCCAAGTGAATATACTTCCTGCCCATAGACTTTCATCCCTTTACACAACTTGATGTAAAATGGACGAACTAATTTAGTTAATTCCGTATTGGTGCACACACCTCTGGAGCGCCGGAAAACAAGCATGAAAAGATGTTGCATATAGAAACCAAATCGAGTTTTATCTTCACTACTAGATTTTGTAAAGAATATGAAAAGAATACTATAAGGATATTAGAAGTTTGCCTGGAGACCTATCCAATTTCATAATGTTGAGCTTTTCATCCCCTACAGGGGAGAAGTGAGGAAATTACTTCACACGCACACACACAACGGCGCTCCAGATATATGTTTACTAATATGGAGACAAACTAATGTTGTTCGCCTACTTTACATCGAGTTGTGTAAAAGGCCGGAAGCCTATGGGCAGGGGTATATTCACTTGGCTAGCACAGACAGTCCCCGAACTCGTAATAGAACGAAAATAAGGAAAATCGGAATAAAATTGTGGCTTAACCCTAACCTGGTAGGGTAATATACTAGGGGAGTACCCAAACAACACACACTTATTACCTTAAAACTATCGCGAGTTTTACCTTCGTAATTCTTGGTACCCATTCACGTGGTGGTATTCATGTGGTATCACAAAAGAGATTAGGGGGTGTTTTATCTTTTAGCGGAGTGTTCATCTCTTATAGGGGAAGAGTGATAAGATCACTACACACTCACAAGTCACAACACACACTAAATCGCTTAGCGCTATCGCGAGTTTACCTTTGTAATTCTTGGCACCAATCCTCGTCCAACATGCATCATTCTGACTTCTGTTTGACATGAATCTTGTGAGTAAGCGCATTCTATGAGTCCTTGCTCGTTGCATTCTTCGTGAGTCTTTGCGTTATGGCAATGGTAGCAACGTAAAGGAGTTTCCAGTACGTTCGGAAAATAAGTCCCGTCCTTTTTCTGTTTGTGTTCGCGCATTTCTTTTGTTTTTAGCGGGTGTTTGAGTTTATAGGCATCGACGATTAAAACCATTAGCAGTGAAGTGAACACCAAGCCGACGAGAAAAATGCCTAAAAAATAAAAGATTGTTGTATGAGTAAAAAACGTTTTACGTGTCGTGCTATGGGTAAGGAACACACTTGCAGATTAGCAGGTTCGAATCTTGTTGGAGATATTTATGAGCGAGAGGATTGCTGGACTCCTCCCTCTCTCTAAGTCGTGGTGTGATTCAGGTAACCGGACTTTCCGTGTTGCATTATTCTATTTATTTTGAATTTTCTATTGAATAAGTATTTGGATTCTATAAAAAAGGGTTTTAGGTTTAAAATCGTTTCAATCCGATAAATTGCAACATGCAGCCGCGGTCTACAACCCGGTCTGCCAAACCATTTAGTGTGGCCTTTGTCAACACTGAGATTAATCTCCACTAAGCATAAAATCCTAAGACCTCCAGAAGTATGCGCACCAAGATGACGCACAACCTGAACATAGTATATGTTTACCGGTTAGGACTCAGGTTGTGCGACATCTTGGTGCGCATACTTCTGGAGCATCAAATCCTAATCAGACAGTTTATGTTTGAAAAGTAATCGCATGGGTAAAATACATAATGATATCAGTTACTTAATGTTATTACTATAAAATCGGGCGAAATATTTTGGACATCCTGTATAAATTACAGTAGATCTGTTAAAGTTGAAAACTCACCTTTTCGCATCTTTGTCTTTGTTTCCACTTCTATTTATTTATCTTCTATCTTAGTTGTGATCCAGAAACCAGAAGTTTCAAACACTTTAATATTTTACTATGTGTTATAATTACCAGTCACGGATTCTGTGTATAATAAAATAGCAATAAAATGTAATAATAAAAACTTGAAAGCAAAGTAAAGTAAATATAGGTTTGTGGGAGTAATTGGAGCTGCAAATGTATTGGGATAGACAGACATAAAATTTGCATATCGTTTATCCTTTAGGCCAAGGGTTCTCAAACTTTTATAAGAGCCCTTGCAGGTGTTGACTATTATTTAGGGAGCCCCACAATTCATTTCCCTCTCAAATTTGACAATTTGACAAACATATTAATAAATTAGTGTCAAAATGTGGCAACAAGGCAATTAAAATATGGCATTGTCTATTAGAACTTATATTTATATGCCATGTTTAAATTAACGCTACCGTTGTCAAATTGTATTAATGCAGATATTGCTTATTTAGACAGTTACAAAATATACCAAGTTAGTATTTTATTAGGTAAACGAATAGCTCGCAGAGACCTTAGGTTTCTCTCATCTCAGGGCTCCGTACGGAGAACTTTGAGAGCCCATGCTTCGGACTGGATCTTAGCTTTTATCTGCTTTCATCCCCTATAAATCAACCTACATATTCTCGCCTCTACTCCCCTTCCCCCCATGCTGGAATTGCCAAAAAATATAAGCAATTTTATATGTTAATAGCAGAACTATTTCAATAATTCAATATTTTGTGTATCTGACACAAAAATAACGCCTTTTCCAATTTTTAATTTAATTAATGAAAGATCATTACAATTATTTATTAGTACAATGATTCTCATCCTCATTGTTAAATACCTTCTTTGTCTATTTGGGAATTTTTATCTCTCGGTCACGATGCACAAAATTACTCTATTTATTTAATCTTTAAAGGATCCTTATTATTTGCTGGTCGCAATCTGGCTTTTGTGCAGTTTTTGTACAGTCAGGTAGTCAGGTATATTGTGCTTAGAAATAAGTGTTATAGTCATAATAAAAAACTAATAAATATTAGTAATTCGCGGCAAAATTCCTTCCCAGCAAAGATTGGAAGACTTACTCACCGGTTAAAAAAACGAGGCATAAGTATATAGGGCAGTGCTTTTCAAACTTTTCAACCCCACTTTTTAGAATTTGTCGAATGTCGCGCCCCACCTCAAAAATAACTAGCTAACAATTAGCTATGATAAACACGCATCAAGTTGAACTTTTAATGACATGGTCAACGCCAAGAATAATAAATATGCAAGCACAGCAGCTCTCTGCAATCTCTAAACAATAAAGAACTATAAATTTCCAAAATGAGCCGGTCACGATTAAATTAAACAAATATTTTTATTTTTAATTAGCTTCACGTCCCCTCAAAAAATTGCTTACACTCCCTTTGTGGGGCGCTCCGCACCGTTTAGTAGCAGCGTATTTTAAACCAAACATTACGAATTATTGAAATAGAATTAGTATTGAATTGGAAATACTAAGTGAATTACAATTGTAAATAAGTATAAATATGAGAAATATTCTTGCATTTTACAACAGACTGATACACAAGCGTAAAAAAACACAGAAGAAGCGACTAATATCCCCCTACAGCGTCCCAAAATATTGCTGTGAAACGAAAGACCTTGCTGTCTCAAACTTATCTTACTTGCTATCGATATGACCAAAACAGCCGAGAGTCTCTGCTTTTGTAGTCAAGGACGCCGGATATTTCCAGAACAAGATTTATTGGATTGTATTAACATTAATGCAATAATGTTTAAGTGTACTCTTTCCACATTAAATTTTATAGCGTATTATGCATTTAAATATCTTAGAAGATATCTCACTGAGTAATTAAATCAGTAAAACGCTCATAAAGACACCATTAGGTGCATTCAGCAGTTTTAAACGATAAACAAACTTAATTAAAATTCTTTTCTAAGCAACGTACACTTCTACTATAAAGCATAGAAAGCTGTGTTCGGTTTTACAATGACGGCGAAGTGTTTTATTGCCGCTGTAAGAAGTGGAATCGGTACTCCCGAAGTATGTGTATCAGGTGATGGTTGGGCCATAATTTTATTCCGATTTTCTTCATTTTAGTTTCATTACGAGTTCGGGGACTGTCTGTGTTAGCCAAGTGAATATACCCCCTACCCATAGGTTTCAGTCCCTTTATATAACTTGATGTAAAGTAGGCAAACAAAAATAATTACCACCATATTGGTAAAACACTTCTGGAGCGCCGTGGAATTTATTTGGAAGCGGTACGGTTTAATTTAACAACGAAAAATGATCTTTAGTAAAAATTTGTAAGATATTTTTTATGTTACGTTTTCACACCTTCATCAGATGTTTCATTCGCATTTTATTGCCGATATAAGAAGTGGAATTTATTTATGAATGCCACGTGTTTAATTTAATATCTAAAAATGATATTTAGTGAAAGCTTGTAAGATAATCTTTTATGTAACGTTTTCCCACTTTCACTAGATGTTTCATTAGTATTTTATTGTCGCTCTTAGAAGTGTAATTTATTTATAAACGCCACGTGTTTAATTTAAAATCTAAAAATGCAATTTAGTGAAAGTTTATAAGATAATCTTTTATGTAACGTTTTCCCACTTTCACTAGATGTTTCATTAGTATTTTATTGTCGCTTTCAGAAGTGTAATTTATTTATAAACGCCACGTGTTTAATTTAATATCTAAAATGCTATTTATTGAAAATTTGTAAGATATTTTCTATGTTACGTTTTCACTCCTCCATTAGATGTTTAATTTGTATTTTATTGCCGATATACGAAGTTGAATTTATTTATAACCGCCACGTGTTTAACTTAATATCTAAAAATGCAATTTTGTGAAAGTTTGTAAGATAATCTTTTATGTAACGTTTTCCCACCTTCACTGGATGTTTCATTTGGATTTTATTGCTGCTTTTAGAAGTGGAATTTATTTAGGAACTTCACGTGTTTAATTTAAAATTAAAAAATTTATCGTTAAAATTAGGGTTTGTATAAGTAAATCAGTGTTTCCCAACGTAGTTCATGGATCCAAGAAATTTTTGAAATGTCACTGAAATTTTCATTTAATCTAGTTTGGTATTTAACACTTTTACTGTATTGTCCATTTGATAAAATGAAACTTTTTTAGAAAACTCAAAAGATTTTTTTCAACGCCGAAAGTGTGTCACACCAGAATGAAAATTGACAACAACTGAACTAATTGTCTTCAAACTTCATTAGAGATATGTGTAAATCGACAACTTTTTGTCGCTCGCTCAAAAATGAGAGTTGCAATTCGTTGGCGGCGGCACATATTTTTAAAAAGTTGACAACCGAATGAATGATACATTTTATAATAAAAATCAAGCAGTGATACATCTCTCGAACAGAATATAGACTTATTTCCTCATTGCTTCTCAAAAAAATCATTTGAATTACTTTCGGCGCCATTGAACCATTTGCACTTAGCATCCACTTTTCTGCGTTTTGTTGTCATTTGTCTACAAATAATTCTGTTACGTAAAGAATATAATCGATAAACAGCAGTGTTGTTACTATAATTTAGTGAAGCGTCGCGGGCGGAATAATTTACACTGCGGACCGAATCCGATTGATTGTTACCGGTTGTGGTCATGGAACTTGAATCTAAGATTTTTAATCCGAGATGACAACAAGTAGCAGAGTTCTTATTTTATAGAAAGTTCTACAACAAGCTATCCATGAAAACACAGTAATGTATAATTAAGTATCTTTAACGTCTATAGAGGTATGTGCAAATGAATAGCAATAAGATAATAAATAAAACTTAAAATAACCTGTGTGACTTTACAATGTCGATCAAATTAATTTATAATCGTTTTAGCAGTAGGTGGGGAATGTGAAGCGCGGAAATGGATTTTATTGCTTATTAGTTCAAGATTTTTTTTATTGTGAGACAATTTTATACGACGTTTTATAAGCACTCCGTACAAGCTTTTGTATAAGCAGACACCGCTAAATAAAAAGTTCACTTTGGAACGAGCGGAACTTTACTGTTCAACATTGCCCACCCAATTCATCACACTCTTGGTGAGGTTGTGGGATTTGAGTTTGAGATTTTTTATCCGAGATGAGTCCTAATTTAAATCACCTAATTTGGTAGTCCCGAAGTATGTAAACCAAGATGGCGGACACGGAACGTAGTGTGTGTACTAGCTACCAGGTTAGAACAAGGCCATAATTTTTATTCTAATTTACCTTATTTTATTTCTATTAGGAGTCCAAGTGACTACTGTAGTATATGTGCCTGAAATTATGGCCCAAAATTAACCTGGTACACATACTACGTTCCGGTTTCCGCCATCTTGGTTCTCATACTTTGGGAGCATCCTTTTTTTTATAGAAAGACAAAAATCTATCTATGAAGATACGTTAATGTGTAAAGTTTATTTAAACGTCTGTCGAGATATGTGTAAATGAATAGCGTCATGATAATGAATCTATTTTCTTGTACTTAGAACACCTTGCGTGATTTTACAATGTCGTTTAGGTTTATTTATGATTTTATAGTAGTAGGTGAGATATATGAAGCGTGGAAATTGATTTTATTGCGGTTTAGGATTGAGTCAGGGCGATTCGAAATATTTGTCTGAATCGATTCAAATAATTCACCATTCGATTCGATACGGAATACCCAGCCCTAGTCACAATGAATTTGTGCCTCCACCATCAAGAACACGTATTTGAAACGCGGTTAATTTCCCCCATATCTAGACCATGGGTCGCTAACTGGATGAAAGTCAGAGGTAGGAGCATCCTATCAGTTTTCTTCTCCGCCTGGAAGTAATAGAAAAATATTAACCTATTCAAAATGATTTTATTAGTAGCGTATAAATGAATTTATTTATTCGGCATTGTTTTATAATATGATACTCCTGTAGTGTGTGTACCAGATTAGGGTTAGGCTCTAATTTTATTCCGATTTTCCTTATTTTAATTCTATTACGAGTCGGGGACTGTCTGTGTTAGCCAAGTAAATATAGCCCCGTCCATAGGTTTCAGTACCTTTACACAACTTGATGTAAGTTAGGCGAACAA